TCTCCTGAAACTATGCAGCGACAGCCAGTTAGTTTTTGCAGCCAAACAAATCCTGACCCTCTCTACTTCAACCGCCTGATGATGGTGCAAGAACGCTACATGCAAGAAAATCGTCCTCACAACCTCCAATCAGCCTGGGACGATGATGATCATCCAGAGTACTACTCAACACCTCGGGTGGATTCCGAATATGGGCGAGAAAACATTCAACCTCGTTTGGAGGATGAGGTTCAAAGGGAAAATTATCCCGCTGAGGATAACCATGTTGAAGAAGAAGAATCCGATGATGATCAGCCACAGCCACAGCCACAGCCACTAGTAGTTCTCTTTATGATGGGTGATGAAGAAGAGTTGGCTAATTTGGATGGAGAGTTCATCAGGATTTCAGAGATATCTTTCCTGGAAGCATCGGAAAGATCTGGCCAATATAGCAATTTGAATGAAGAAACCATATTGAAGAATCTCAGGACCAGACAATATCGAACATCGGCTGATCGTGATGGAGATGAAACGGGTGATATTTGTGTTGTCTGCCAAAGTGGATTCGAAGACGAGGAGATAATTGCAAAACTTGGATGCGGACATGAATACCATTCTGATTGCGTCAACAGATGGTTGCAGCATAGGAACGTTTGTCCAATCTGCAAGCGCACGGCGATTGAAGAAGACAGCAGCTAAGAAGGCTACAGTTCTTTGTACGATTTGGGGTAGTCTTTATATTCAGCCTTGGAATTCCTGCAGCTTCTTTGTACGGAATTTAGAAATATTGTAATGAATTTCCAACTCTGGATTTGTCAAACTGATTATTGGAATTCCTACTTCTTTGTGCAGAATTTAAAAAAGATTTTGAATTTCCAATTACGTATTTGTAAAACAGATTATTATTTTGGAGGTAATAAAACCTCATTGTCCTGATTAGCGTGACAGTAGTTAAACTTTGTCCTCGTTTTAACTTTGAAGTTCATCTTGGTATTTGATTCTAACAGAAATTATTTAGGCTGACCATACTTTTACTGTTGGTTAATTGCTTCTACATTAAAGGTGGTTAGGTCTAGTTTTCCACTTCTTGAAGCAAGTGAACAATTGAAGAGTATTGCAACAACTGAGTGAGCCTGTCAATCATGTTCCCATATTTTGGTTAATACAACAATTGCAAGCTTGATAGATTCAACATGGGAATAGATATTGTCGTTCAATGTTTACACCTGTCCATGTATTTTGAATTAACACTAGATTTTGTTAGCTATAGCTTGAGGTGAAGCCTGTAACTGAAAACTAGAAAGTATATTGCCAAGTCAAGATTTTAGGTAGCATCAAGCACCTAATGGTTTTGTGAAAATAAAAGGCAAACTTAGAACTGAAAAAATAACCTCTTTTTAGTGCAAGTGCATAATTTTCCATACAGTACTGATGTCCATTGGTTGTGCCAACTTAGTTGGTTGGGAAAATATGTGGATTTCTTGATTCATTATTATGCTTGGATTGTAGTTTTCTAACGAAAATTTTTTTACATTTTTCGTGAACACATTTCTCGATCATTTTTTTAACATACATACATCAAATTGTTGCGCTACATTTTTTATAAAAATTCTAAAAAAAAAAAAAAAAAAAGAGCAATCCGAACGGGACTACCAAAAGAATAAGTTGATATGTGACCGGCCAATCATAAAATTAAGTAGTTCAATTTGGTTGTGGTAATTAATAATTGTATAGAAAATCACTACTTCACCACCTATGATGAGATTATCCCCATTTTGTGAAAAAACTTTAGTTCATGTTTCACGGTCAATTTTTTTCCCACAGTTCTTAAAAATTTTATTGCCTTATGTCTCAAAAATTCAGTTTAGCAGAATAACCAATTAATTTTAAACCAAAAAAAAAAAGATGTGTAGCCTAAGTAAAATTGCATTGAAAAACTGATTTAATCGTTATTCTCTGATTCATTCAAAGAAAATAATTAGAACCAAGCAGGACTTGAAAATGCAATGTTATAAATAGAAAACTTACGCGAGGGGAAGCCATGGATCCGTGGCTTCTATAATTGCCAGCACCAATTGTATATACAATTGATAGTTGTTTAAGGCACACTCTAACATATGTGCAGTTAACGAAAATATATATATATCAATCAAAATTATCCCTTTAAAAAGCTATTTTTATGACTTTAATGGGTCAAATTCCATCATAATGCACATGCATATAGAAAGATGATGGAAGTGGAGCAAAATCGGTGTAAGTCACAGAGAAAAATTTTAAAAGAAAGAATACGATTTTGAAACTAGAAAAAAGTCAAAAACCTAGAATCCTCCGAAGTTCTAAGAGTAGGCTTTATTGAGATTTGAAAATTCCTAGAATTAGTATTTCATCCTTAAACTTTTTGTTGGTGACGATTTAATCCCTAACTTTTATTTCTAATCAATTTGATACTTGAACTTATTTTGCCATACTAATTGAGGATCTCTATGATGGCACCACTACTTAAAACCGATTTGATTCTTAATTGACTAATTAAACAGGGGTATTATGGAAACATCACTCATGATATTGTAATAAAACAAGTAAATCGTGTTAAAAATACCAGATCAAACTTTTAGATCATATAAAAAATTATCAGATAAAACTTTTTTAAAATTTAATCTTGTGATTTTTATATGATTTACTTGATTTATTTATGGCCTTGTGAGTGATATTTCCAAAATATTCCTGTTTAGTTGATTAATTAGGAATCAGACCAGTTTTAGGTGGTGGTGTCGCTACGAAACTCCTTAATTAGAATCGCAAAATAAATTTACGTATCAAATTGGGTATGAATAAATGTTAAAACTAAATTGACACAAGTAAAAAAATTTATGGGCCGAATTGGCCTCAAGAATTCATAACCTCCTTTTTAAGGAAATAAGAAAAAGGATAATTTGCCTCAAGGGAGGTTTCTGACAATTTCACTCACCTTTCTTCAGGTTTAAATAATTACACTAACCTCCCTTCATGTAATAAAATGACTATAATATCTTTCACTTATAAATAATTCCTACAAACAAAAATTTTACAATTACAACTAGTCTTTTATTCTAAAACAACTGCTGTTACATAAACTAAACTCTTGTTCTACTCATTCTTTTACTTTCTTTCCCCTACATCTCTTTTTTTTTTTGCAAAAAGACCCATTCTCTCTTTTTTGTTTTCTTTTTTTTATAAGTATTATTGAATTGAAATTACAAAATGACAAGTTGCCAGATCATATTTGTTGTCAAACTAAATGAAAGTGAAAAAGATGGCAGTGATATAGAATACTTACAAGAAAATAAAAATGATAACTAAAAAGGGAATGTGGATTAAAGAAAATTACGATATTATACCAATTGTATAAAAAAGAATTTTGAGATATAAAACAATAATTAGATTTGCTGAGAGACATGGGATGTGGTCTCTAGTATTGCTTTGGTTGCTCCACATTGATATTCTTGGTAGGTTACATTATTTTAGTAACAAAAAGGTTGAATAGTGACATTGGTCAATTGAAACAATGAATTAGGCAAAAAAAAATGAGGCTAAATATTAGCTTGAATGTGGACTTTAATTGTCACATTTGATTTGCATGGGAAGTTTTAGGGCGGCAATTGTAGGCTGTCAAATGTAAGAATATGGGAATTAAGATGAAGTAGTTTATTGAGTTCGTTAAGGTGGTGGTTATGTCGTTTACAATAGTTACAATGTGCAAGAATTTATTAGTTTGTTTTTCCCCTTCTAAGCAACAAAGGGGTATTTTTGGATTTTTGAGGAGAAAATTAGTATATTGGGTTTATATTATTACTGAAATGCTAATCATAGGGGAGATAGTGTAATTTTTTAAACTAATAGGGAACTTCTTGCAATAATAAAAAACCTTAGGGGAGGTTTCTGAAATTATCCCAAAAAGAAATCCGTAACCGAACAAGAAATTTGTCAAATTGGTCCCTAACATTTTCACAAAAAAACTTTTTTAGTCCCTAACATTTAAAATCAGTCAGAATAGTTCCTAACATATAAATTATGAGCCAGTTTGGTACTAATGCTCGTATTTGTTCTTTTTTCCTATTAAAAATAGCACACCAACATAATTTCAAAGACAAAATCGGAAACATTCGTTAATCCATAATTTTCCATCATTCTCTTTCTTTCTAATGGTTTTCGCCATTTTGCAACATAAAAGAGGGAGTATGGTTGTTTACATCCCAAGGTAAGGCAAAATTGGGTTCTTACTCACCATTGCTTTGGTAGCGTCCACATCTGCAGCAAAGGTCGCGTGATGAAGAGTAGTTCGGCCAAGTTGGTGTACGGCTTCAAGCTGCTTCTTAGCTAACTCCTTCACAAGCTTCTGTACAAATTTTGACTGGCCACAGCTAGCTGCCACATGAAGGGCTATCATGCGAAGGTTGGAGATTTTTGCTATCTTTGCATTTTGATTGGAACGAAATTGGCAACTAGCTTCTTTCCAATCTCCTTCCATTGCTGCTGTAGATTTTGGGAGTTTGGTTGTATCAACTTTAACAATTTGCTGACTCCCTTCTCTTGCTGCTTCGCAGACAAATCCCAATGTCTCGGGATTTAAGCAAAAAGAAGAATGGAAACTGTAGATGGAATTCAAGAATAAGCAAAAAGAAGAAATTGTGAAGTAGCAGTAGGCTGAGAACCAATTGAAGAAGCGGTGGAAGAGTTTGAGGGATGCAAAATTATGGATTAACGAATGTCTCCAATTTTGCCCTTGAAATTGTGTCAGTGTGCTATTTTTAACCGGAAAAAAAGCAAATACAAGCAGTAGGACCAAATTGGCTCATAATTTGTATGTTAGGAACTATTCTGACTGATTTTAAATGGTAGGGACTAAAAAAGTTTATTGTGAAAATGTTAGGGACCAATTTAGCAAATTTTCCAAAAAAATTATATAGTTGACTAATTGGACAAGTAGAAAGGCAACACGTGTACATAAATAGCCCACTCCAACTCCTCCTCCCCACACCACCGGGCCACGACCACCAGCAGCGGCTATCCAAGCTATCAAATTCTGCAAAGCCAAAAAAAGCGCTCTCAAATTCGCCGGCTACAATCCAAATTTTGCCGATGATTTGAAGAATTTCCTTTTTCTGCTTCCATTGATTCATCACTGGATTACAACTTTATAGCTAAATTCCCCACAAAAACCAAACAATTTCAAGCTACAGAAATGATTTCTACTTATTCCTCTTCTGCGATTTGTACTGGCTCCTTTTGCTTCTCTAATCAGAATCCTCCAATTCAAGAGGTCCGAAAATCTACTATTTCTACTGTTTAAACTAATTTAGTTGTATTTGCAGTCCGGTTTCGCGAAATTCGCTCCCTTTTTTTTGTCTCCTTTTCTATTTTCTAGGGCTCATTGTTTGTTATCGGTCGCAAAAGAGAAAGAAAAATGAAAAGGAAAAACTGTTTAGCACATGGATTGTCGTTGTAGACTTGGGTGTTTGTCTTTTATTAGGGTTAGGGTTTTGATGTTTATGATCATTTGCTGATTGCTCGCTGGTCGTTTCACAATTAGACTTGCAAAGCTTTTCGCTTTGATTATCAGTAGCTATTGCTGATTGCTAGGAGAAGGGAAAATGATGAGGGATAGGAGATACGGAGGGGATAGGTTTCGGTCACCAACACCTCCGCCTCGGAGACTATCTCCGCCCCGGCCCCCAGCGAGGTTGCGGGACCACAGATACTCCCCTCCGCCACCACGGAGGCGGCACAATATGGATGTGGAGGATGAGAGACGTGATGGAGGAGGACATTCAAGGAGAGATTATGACAGATACTATGAAAAGAGTTTTGATCGCGGAGGAAGGGAGTATGAGAGGAACTTCAGTCGCGGAGATAGAGGGAATGAGAGGGAATATGACAGGAATTTCAGCCAAGGGGATAGAGACAAGGATAGGAGTTTCAGTTGTGGAGGTGGTGATGGAGATAATGGTAGGAGATTTAGTCGTGGAGATGGGGATGGAGATAACTTTAGGAGTTATAGTCGTGGAGGTGGAGGGATGAGGATATCAGATTACAGTGGTGGTGGTGGAGATAGGGATAGAGTTAGAGATTATGGTGATAGAGAAAGAGATAGAGATGATGGGCGTTCAAGGAGTATGCATCGGTCAAGTGGCAGTGGGAGTACACACGGCGTGTGTATGAATCCAATGAAAGAACTTCCTCCAAGTTCAGATGGGATTCTCTCTTCAGTGAAACCAGAAAATCAGATGGCTTCAAAAGTTCGTTGGATAATGGGGTTGTTGGCAGTGGAGTAAGGACTGATCTGGAGTACGATTATAAGAGGCATAAGTACTTTGACAAGGGGTATGATGGATTGGTACTTGATTCCAAACCTCTGTTGGTAGAAGGTGAAAGGGGAAGGGATTATTCTAGCTCCACTTATCCTATGAATATCAGCTTCCCAACCAAAAGTTCTGGCCATGTTGATACATTTGGAAGTGGCATGTCAACATCATCACATTATTCAATTAATTGTCTTCACAAAGGTGAAGACTTCCATTTTCACGCCAAGTTTGATTCAGAGAAGTTAGTTAAAGATGGGCCAGTCTTGAGGGATCCATTGGCAAGGGAATCATATAAAGATAAGCCCTTGACCTATTCAAACATGGATACTGATTATATGGTGCCATCATCACGGTTGAAGGATTTTGATCCAGTGCGTCTTGGGAGTTTCAAGGAGGATATCCCACCTGCATTGAGGGATGAACTTCGCATCCTTCTGGAATTAGAATCTCCACTGGAGTTGAGACTAATTCTATTGGCTATGATGGGCGTCGACAGAAGTCACGAACCAGGTCTCCTGTGGATCATGAAGGGAGATTAAGAGAGTTTAAGAGTTATTCAAGGTCATATCTTGGTGCTGCTGAAGAGAGCCGCATGGACAATGCATACCCTCTAGTTGGCAGCAGCAATGGAGGTGGTACACTTCCCAGGTCAATTGACTCGTATGGAAAGAGTCTTGGCATTGGAGAAGACTACAGGTCACAAGATTCATCAAGGTTGGGCATTTTGGAAGGTGATGAATCCTCTCATCAAGGATATTCTAGAGGGAGCAGGATGCTGGACCACCATCCTGCTTCACTTGGACACCCCATTTCTGACCATTATGATGCACAGCAATCCTTCCATGCAAGAAAGAAGGATGTGGACGATCAAGGTTATGGAAGTGCTCAACCTAAGTATGAAAGGGAAATTTATCATGGCCTCCAAAGTTCCAGAGTAGGAGAGCATGATCATGATCTTGAGATAGCTCGTGGTCCTCGGTCTCATCACAGGCGATCAGATGTATTACCATCTAGAGAATATGATCCACTCTTAGATGATACTGATGGTGGATCTCAGGAGAAATTGGTCTTGGGGAATATGAATTTGTCTAAACCGTCCAAGAACAGGCTCAAGCGGAAACATGCAGAAAAGCAATTCATTCAGCATGGAAGTACGAGTTATGATCTAGTGGATGCCGGTGAACCTTGGGATGATAATGTGGATTCAAACATACCTTCAAGGAGTTTGAAAGTGGGTAACTCCAGATATGGGAAGTCTAGAAGGACATTAAATATGACAGCCCACCGTCAGTCACCCTCTGGCACAAATACATTCTCTTCATCCGTTCATACAAGAAAAACCCAGATTTCTGGCCCTAGAGATATAAAGAAACGGCTTGGGCCAGTTGCTGAGAAAGTTCATGTTTCCCAACGTCTAGCAAAGAAGTACAAGCCTTCACTAAGAAAACGGTTAGGACCTGGTCCTCAAAAGAATCGTGTTACTCTCCCATGGCTGAAGAATCTGAATGCTGCCAATCTGCCAAGAATTCAAGATGGTTCAGTTGGAAGTGATCATGATCAAGGGGAAGATCCCCAGGCAGAAAATGTTACTCCTGCAAAGCCCGAACCTCCTGAAATGTCCGAGGATTTTAAACAGCTGGTGAATATTGCATTCTTCAAGTTTGTCAAACAATTGAATGATACTCCGGCTAAAAGAAGAAAATACAAGGAGCGGGCAATTTCTGGTAGTTTGAAGTGCATCGTGTGCCGCAGGTCTGTGTTTTACATCATGAAATGTTATTACAGATGGAGAAACTCTTTCCTGTCTTTCATTGAACTTTTTCTTGCTCTTATGCTACATGAAGTATCCTCCTCTGATTTCAATCATCAGCTCATGAGGAAGTGACAAGCAAATGTTTACCAGAATATGTTGCTAGCTCCTGGATTTTGCTGTCCTTTACTGGTCTCATGCTTCCATGACTTCAAAGAGAGTGTGATATGTAGACTTCTGTTCAATATTATGATAGTCCCCTTGGAGATTGGTTTGGAAGAGTTTAAACTTTATGATATTGCTGCTCAAATGGAGGGCTTGTCATGATATTCTTATATTTTTCCGCAGATTGTGATTTTTGACTATATGAGTTACATCAGGTGAACAATTCTCAGAAAAGAATCATGAGAAAGGAACAGAATAAGGACAAAGATAAAAATTCATTGTCACTTTTTTGAGTGGCTTGGGACAGAAGAATGAAGATGATAAATCTTTTAAATGTGTTGGTTGTGCTATTGGAGCATTAGTTAAATCCTCAGATGTGGCTTTGGTCTGATGGTCTTGGTTTTCTGATATAAGAGTATTGCTGAAAAGGAAGTTATAGTTCTTTCCATAGTTACATGAAGTAATTGTCGGTGTATAGAATTAATTTCAAAAAGGTTTTTCAAGTTATAGGAGAAGAAATCAGCTATCTAGGTGCCTAGTCTAGCTTTATTAGTTTTTGCCTTGAGAGAAGTTTCTTTTGCAATGAAGAGTAGAAGAATTTCTTGTATGAAAGTTTAGGTTGATGAGGATTAGAATCAGTTCTCATGAAGTTTTTGGTTTGGTAGTTGGACTTTATACACATTAGGCTATTTACAATAATGATTGTGTTTTGAAGGCAAATATCAGTCCTTAGGTACTGTTGGGGCCCTTTTTTAGTCTCACCACATTTCCAAGCGATGTAATTAAACATTGAATACGCACTTCACATGGAAGACCTTTCCTGAATATTCTTTTATGCAAATAGTTGTGTATGTCCTTTTTTGCTCTCTCTCTCTCTCTCTCTCTCTCTCTCTCCATACTTAATAATAGAAACTTGTGCTGTTGAAAATTTTGCTTGAAGTTTTTATGCTTCCAAAATGCTTTCACTGGATTGCCTTATGGAAACATGTTTTTCCTTAGGCTGAAACATGTTGCTTTCCTTAGGCTGAGAGAAACATAAACTCATTGATATACAGTTGAACACTCCAATAAGAATTAGTAGTCTTATAACTTAAAGTAGCCATACAGTGATGTTGACTTGCTAATTTCAATTTCTTTTGATCATGAAACAGACACTGTTATTTTTTGGATGTCATTTTCCACCGAGTCCTCTAGCTTGTGAGTTTGATGATTAGTGCTGTTAATGTTCACTGAGAAAGATCCTGGTGTAATGTTGCCAAGAGACTAATAATTACACCTGTGGAGGAGTATGTGACTGTGTAAAACATAGGCGTGGTGCGATGGTTTCTTGTTGTTTGATTGTTATTGTCTGTTACAGTACAAAAGAAAGAAAAGAACCTGAACAACAAAGGAACTGAGAAGAGACTTGTGTGAAGATTATTTAGTCACATTGATCTCTTGTGATGCTTTCTTGTTGTTTGATTATGGATGTGTCTGTTGTGGTACCAAAAGAAAGATAATAAAGGAACAGAGAAGAAAACTGGCATGAGAAATGTTTAGATAGTGACATTGATCTCTCATGTCTGCCATTAACCCAACAAAGAATCTAAACAATTTTACTGGCAGAGTATGAGCATAAGCTTTAGGAAAAGGATTTACTTTGGAAATGAGAATCATCATTAGCATCTGCTATCAAGGACGGGACGTTCATTATCTCTAAATAACTCATAGCAATTGAGTCAGTCTTTTATGTATTGTAGATTTGATGTTTTCTGAAGTTGGTCTGCTGATGAATTGCATGATTTTCACTACTTGAGATTTGCTTGCTTGCAGCCAGGAAGAGTTTGTTGGCACAGAGGGTTTGGCAACACATGTATTCACATCTCAAGAAATTGGCTTAAGATCGCGTCACTTGGGTTTTCATAAAGCACTTTGTGCACTTATGGGATGGAAGAGTGCAGAGAAGCCAAATGTTACATGGTCACCTGAAAAGTTGTCTGATGTGGAAAATTTAACACTAAAGGAAGACCTCATTTTGTGGCCTCCAGTGGTGATTATCCACAACAGTACCATTGGAAATAAGAGCCCTGATCAGCAAGTTATTATATCTATTGAAGAATTTGAAACTAAACTAAGAGGTACGTTTCCTTCTCTGAACACGAAACACGATTATAATCAGTCATGACTTTATTACTTTTGTAGGTATTCTGTTATATGCTCTGGTTTTCCTTGCTTTTAGACTTTAAATTTGTCTACTTTAAGTTCATGTTGGCGCTCATGATATGCTTCAAAATCCCATTGTGAGCAATATTCTGGTATATGGTGGCATTGGATGTAACTGTTGCAGGACACAGAATTTCGTTGCTTGAGTTGATTGACGAAGTTACTATTATCTTTTAACTTCCGCTTGTCATCTTTATATTATTTTCAGAAGTATGTCAATTGAAAGTCTCTGTTTGACAATTGTCCTGAATAATTGGACACGTGGCAAGTAAGTTTCCATTACATATGAGGATTTAGTGTTTCAACCACACAGATTGTATAGTTATTCCGTCAAATGTGAGTGCACTTTTTGTGGATGAGTCTGTACCTGGATAAATCCTAAGTGTTCAATGAAGGTATGTCCTTTTGGCCCTGGGATTGCAAATTGTCCGAACAATTGTCAATTCCACAGACCATTTGAAGTGCAGAACTGCGCAAGTTTTTTTGGATGTCGTGTCAGAATTGGCTTTGGTTTGTATTGCTGTATGCCTCTGTTTGTGTCTCTATGTTCAAAATGCTCATCTCCATTTTGCAGCCTTAACAAGGATAGAGTCTTGCATATTCATGAGACTTTCTCACGTTGTACAATGAGATTCATTGGTCTGTTGTCTTCATTTGTCTTATTTCATTTTGTCTTATTCTCCTGTAATTTTTTTCCCCAGAAATGGGCTTTGGAGACGGGACTAAGGTGTACCGTGGAAAACCTGCAAATCAAAGTGTTTTGGTGGTTGAGTTTGCTGGTCGGCTGTCGGGGTTGCAAGAGGCTGAGAGGCTTCACGAGGTTTATGCTGGAAACGATCATGGGAGGGCCGAGTTATTGCGGATCAACCAGAATGGGGAAACAGTATCTGCACCAGTGAACAATATGGAAAATATTCTGTATGGTTACCTGGGGATTGCAGAAGATCTGGATAAGCTGGATTTTGATGCCAAAAGACGTCGTGTCGTGAAGAGCAGGAAAGCAATTAAGGATATTGCAGAGGCTTCCATAAAGACACAATGACGAAGCAATCAAGTGCAGGGATGTTTTAGGGGGTGTGAACGTGTAGTTCAACTCGTTTTCATTCGTTTTGTTGCTTGTCGCCAGTGCTGCTTTCTTATATGCAGTTACTCTTTTTGGGATGATGATGATGATGAGGATGAAAGTTGATGGATCTTTTGACTTGGCAATTTAGAACATCACCTCAAATTGGATGGAACTTTTGGATACTCTAGTTACTATTTTAAGTTTAATCGTGGAGAAAAGGGTCTTTACTGCAAACTTTCTGGTTCATTAACTTATAGTACTCAGATGCTTTCGATTTAGCATTTAACTCTTTGCATTTGCTGTTTCGCTTAGTTTTATGTTTCTTACTTGACAAGTTGGTCGGATGGACGAATTTATCATGAAAACCGGCGGGTTGCGTTTGGGGATCATAATTATAGTACATACGAGTATAATATCTGTTTGTACGTATAATTTGTTTTAAAAAAATAATGTGTATTTTAAATATTTCAAAAATACTCTAAAAATATTTACATTTGTTGAACTAATTGTATGAAGCACATTATAAATTTTTAACGTATTATACTTCAATTTTTTTGGAAAAATTTTCAAATTTAGGTAAAACTAATGATATAACTTCTGAATTATATACAAAACAGTAATGACATGTGTTGTATTTTATGCAAATTTACACATTAAAAGAACTAAAATGATAACATTTTAATAAATTTACGTTTCATACACGAGGATAAGAGTTAAAATTAGTACTAATGTAGTAAAATCTATAAGAGTTAAAATTAGTGCCAATGTAGTCGTAAAATCTTTGAAAATTACAGTAATTTTATCCGTACTTTGACTTTTGTAACTTTCAATTATATTCGTATTATTTACCTATGAATTCACATACACACGCGTGTACATAATACATAATTTTGCCAATATTTTTACGCTGAACTTTTAATTATACTCTTGAAAAAAATCATACAATACATACATATTATGTCACATACTATACCCGTCTCGTATTATACTTGTACCTTTAGGGACTCGTATCATATGAGCCGTTCTTGCAGCTATATTGTGCTCAAATGGGAATATTGGACCATTGGTCGGAGTTTTCTAAAGACACCTATAAACAAAGAGAGAAAGATCGCTGGTCCTGTCTGCTTAGCTACAAAGATATACAGTTGGTCTATAAACCTAAAGAAATACTCTGCATGTGAACTGAGAAGTGATCATCTTCTTTGGAAGTTCAGGAACTTGATGCCATAAGCGAAGACAAAGAAGAAGCAGAGGACCCAACCGACGTGGGCAAAGACCACTGGAATGAGGAAGTCATGGTCATAGCCCAAGTATTCTTTAAGGAATTGGTTGATTGGAACTTTTGTGTCACTACCAGGGACTTCAATACCAGTTGTTCTGTCAGCAATTTGAGATGCAAAAATGCCATAAATTGACCATGCAACAGGAGAGCACCAGTAGTACCACCTCCACCATACTGGAATAAGCTGCAAATTGTTTTAACACAAAATGGTGGTATAGTCAGTCAAGAATTCAATGGAACAGTACAGTACAATTTGGAGCTTCATGTGGTGGAGTGGAGTAAATTGAAAAAATGTATATACGAAGGTAAATATAGCTTAGCATTCACGTACCGGACGTGGGATGAGAAAACCAGAAAACAGATTCCAGAAACTCAAGAAGAAGGACATGACAATAGCAGCAATTTGATGGCCAGGAGTCAATGCAACAACCATCATCCCGTACATTGAGAAGTAGGCATAGCACATGAAGATGAAGTAGTAGAAATACAAGAACTTCTCGGCAGTCCAGTCGAATCCAATCATCGAGTACAAAAGAAGTGTGTAAACCAGAGTTTGAATTGCAACATAAATAGTTTCAATTGCAACCTGCAATTGTAAGATGCACAAGGGATGTTAGAACTGGAAGGCTTTATTTGATTTGCGAGTAGAAAATGATAATGTGATAAGTAGACAGGCAAAAAGGGATCTGAATGCTTCACCTGAGCAAATGCGTAAGGCAACTCAGAGTACATTCCTGCTGCTCTTTCACGGTAAAAAACTGTTCTCTCAATCGCCACAACAGACTGCACGGCAGAAGCATTGGTAGCTCCAAGGAAAAGAACAGCAGCATAAATAGCTCCGAGTATATTAAGCAAGTCTTGTTGTCTAAATCTGTTAACCGATGCACGGTATTGAAGCTAATGTTAGCATTATGTAACTGAATTGAGTAGGCTCTTTTATCATTCAAGGTTGCGAGATAAGGAAAATTTGGACTTACATTTTAGTTCCTTTGTCCCAAAAGATAACGCCAAACATAATTCCAATGACAACAGTCATGAAGAATCTAATTGCATTATATTGCGAGTTCCTCCAATATGACCAGTGTTGTTTCCAAAAACAAGCCTTGCACTGAACTAAAAAGGACTGAGAGTATTGGGTGGGGAAGTATAGATCCCTGGAACCCGGTTCAGGAGCGCTCAGTTCCTTTATTAACTCCTGATTCCTCCTGGAAACATAAGCGAAGTATCAGGACAATGATCTTGTAGCACATATAGAGGCATTTGATGCTTGAAAACTTTCTACGCTGTATAAGTTAACCCTTCTTTTACCTGTAGAGATCAGAGTTGGCATATATGTCTGCAAAATCGACTTCAAGTTGAGCCTCCATTGCTGAGGTGCTGACATCCAACATCCACGTAGCTGGATTGTAACCCTCTTTTATCTTGGAACACCAGGTACAGCCTGCAAGTTGGGTAGGATTTCAATTCTAGTGCACAGACACACAATTCTAGTGCACAGACAGTGTGTTTGCAACCAAGCAATAGGAGCAGAACCTCACCTCAAAATATTCAACGAGTTTGTGAGAATGGCGACCAAGAGGTCCAGCATATATCACTTGTCCTCCTCTCTTCATCAAGAGTAGCTGCAGGTATAAGAATGGTGTTAAAAAATGCAGAGTGCCCAAAAATATCTAGTGTAAGAAAAATGACAATTAAGTGTACCTCGTCAAAAGCTTCAAATATATCAATGCTTGGTTGGTGAATTGTGCAGACCACAGTTCTACCAGTATCCACTGTATTTCTGACAGTACGCATGACAATTGCAGCAGCTCTAGCATCAAGTCCTGAAGTGGGCTCATCCATAAAGATGATGGAAGGATTAGCAACTAATTCAACAGCAATTGTAAGTCTCTTTCTCTGCTCGGTTGAAAGGCCGTCCACTCCTGGAAGTCCAACAAGAGCGTCCCTCAGAGCATTGAGCTCAACCAAGTCCATGACTTCTTGAACAAACATCTGTAGTAAGAAAGAAAATGAAACTTCAGCAAATTACATACAAAGCGTTGTTGATTTAAAGGCATGCACATTAATGCACTACGTTTATCAATGAGTCAAAGGTCATAATTCTAGTAATTACTATGCTTACCTTTCGAGTTTCTGTCTTTACATCAGAAGCAAGCCGCAGCCAGGCAGAATAGAGGAGCGATTCATAAACAGTTACATAAGGTGAGTGTATATCATTCTGCTCACAGTAACCACTAACTCGGGCAAAAGTTTCTTGGTTCTTTGGGTAGCCTGAAATGCTTATGCTTCCTTCAATGTAGCCACCTGTCTTTCTACCTGCTAAGACATCCATCAATGTGGTCTTTCCAGCACCACTGACACCCACCAGTGCTGTTAAAACGCCAGGCCTGAAAGCACCACTAACATCTCTCAAAAGTTGCAATCTATCTTCTTCAATCCCTTGTGACTTCATTTCCTGATATGAATCAAATTTCCAAGTTAGAAAAATAATAACAATATTATGTTTGTTTCCGAGAGTCTGACCACAGAAATGAGATGTGGGCAATTTCACAAAATTAAGGACAGGGATGGACGAGACTTACTGCAGGCATGTCCACGTAGTACTTCACATGATCGAATGCAAGTGAGAGTGGTTGGAAGGGCAAAACCATTCCTCTAGTTGCTTGATTGTTTGTTGCACTAACCATTGAGTTGCCATTTGCCTGAGAATTTCTTACACCCATTTGAATTCCTGTAGCAATGACAGCGTATGAGAAACGCATTTTTTTGGTCCTGAATTATTTTTAATAACTGAAAGCCTTGAAAAGAGGAATTTATTCAGTGGTACACTTAATTGTCATTTTACAAAAAAATTAGATGACAAAAGGCTATAGATGACAATTAAGGTGTTCACATCAGTTACCATATTTTACAGTTTAAGAAGCAAAAGAATTTTTGATACTTTCTTTCGTTTGTATCATTGTCAAAAACATGGATGTTATTAAAGGGAATAGGCTAAGAATTTAACACTCCAAGCTTAAAAATAGTTTAATAGACCACAAAAAGGAGTAGTTTAATAGACCACAAACCTGCAGAATTGGATGCTTCATTTCTAGTCTTTTTCTCATCATCGTCCTCAACAAGAACAGCTTTAGTATCTCCAATTGCTGATAATTAAGTCGTATCACGTATTAAAACATGAACTTCTTGTATCATATAGTATAGAATGATAGATGACAAATGTAAGATAACAGGTGGACTTTGTACTCACGATTTAAAAATGTCAATGCTCCAATAAAAAGAACATTGAACAACAAGGAGAAAGCGAAAAGAGCTCCTACACCAATCCAGTACCAAGTTTCAGTGGTAAATAGACCTCTGTCCTTTAGAAGTGTCTTTCCAACTGTAGGTTCAGAGCCATTGGAGGGCTGTAGAATGAAAATTAAGAACCACGTCAAAATCAATATAGAGTATCCTCTAGCTTTACAGATCTTGGAAAGAATGTACACATTTAGAGGCAATTATCAGGAGGTCTTACGTTGCTCCATCTTTCAGAAAGAAACTCGTTGATGGCAATGGCATTTTGTCCATACATCATAGGAGAAACATAGTAACCCCATATCATCCAATTCTTGATGTCATCTGTGAATTACATTTCCATAAAATTGGTTAGCAATTCAATTGTATTGCTACAAATAAAGCAGCCAATACAGATCCAAGCATGGAGCAACTGATTTTCCGCAACCGACAATATGTATATCTAGACTACAAAATGTCATGCGGAAATTGTGGTATATCTAAATCATGCTTTCACCTTTTGCAACAATGAAGCCTCCTAGAATAAAGACCAACAACAAGGTGAAGGTTCCAAGCGTGTTTGCTACAACTTGTGCTCTTCCAGCTGCAGCAATGAAACGAAACAAAGAGAGAGCCATCTGATGGATGCCAATGAATGCCAAGAGCTGTTTGAAGAACCTGATACATTGAAGATAAAAATAAAGAAAAGCTTATTAGATGCCTGCC